CAAAGGGAAATTTCCTTCATGAGAATTTAGCTTTGGGGTCCTACGGGTAAAATCTTGTCTTAGGGCAAATGTCAGGGGTCAAGCGGTCGAGTTTGATGGACGTTTATGACTATTGTCAAATGAACGTTGAAGCGTGTGTGTGAGACTTAGTTTAGTTTATTATTTTTTTGAATATGTAAAAAGAAAAGTTGCCACAGAGTTGTGTTCCCTCTCAGAGAGGAGCCTGCATGTGCGGCCGAGGTCACACTGATCCGACAGAGGATCCTAGAAAAACAATTCTCACACACCGGTCGGTGCAGATTCTCACGACCGAGCTTCAGTGATGTCGAGCTTTTGCAAGTAAAACCAGTTAAAATATCTTCGTGTGTCCCCGAGCGTGGCTTCTTGAGTTTAGTAAGATAAGAACAGGATATTTTTATCCAACAGCATATTTCTTAAATATTCAAAAGTTTTCTTCCACTTTTTGTTTTAGGATCTCCATGTGTCAGGTACTTTAAGGCTTTCATCTTTCTTGTCCACGACATTTTAAATTTGTTTAGTTTCATGAAAACTTGAACTGAATTCATAAAAAGTAACGTGACTAGTGTTAAACATGAAATAAAAAGAGACACAGATGAACTGCTGTTAGTTCTGAGTAATTACAGAGACGGCTGTATTTTGATACTGGTTTAAATACTGCCTAAAAGTACCAACCACTGCGTCGATGTCTGTAAACTGGGGAGCCAAATTTGACTTCACTGACCAGTGGTAGTGATGAGAAATGAGAATAAAGGCGAGATGAGACAGGAAGTCAGTGATGAGGGAACACACTCACCCTTCGGCCTTGCTCCACAGACCGGTAAGCGTGGCGATACAGACAGGAGAAAATGGCGCCAGCTGGCATCATCTCGCTGGTCTCGTTCCAGCTCAGAGTGTGGCACAGTCGAGCAGCGTCTCCCTGACATTTCTTGTACAGGATGGGGTCCAGCCTGACAAACAGCACACGGTGTTAATAATCACACGTCGATAATATGGTCATTGATTGAGACATTCAGCAGAGAAACAGCTGCTGCACCGTGTCTCTGCTGACAAGAACATTTTACAACTTTACCAGACCCAAATGAATTCTTGAAGGGAAGACACGCTGATGCCATCTTAAAATATTAGAATGAACTAAAAACAATATCTAGTCCAGACCAGAACCCAGAACCTGTTGCAGCATTTGATCAATTTACCGTTTTCTTCCACCGTTCCATGGACACGGTCACCAAAACACCTGGTTCTAGACCAGGGGTGCCCACTGCATCGATCCTGATCTCAGAAGGTAATCTGGGTAGATGTACCTGCTCATAGACCAATGTTGGTTAACGTAGCGCTACGGTAGTGCTGGCAGCCGTCGACTGCCGGGGTGGGGGGTTATTGGGCGTGGGTGAGCTCTATGCTCGTATCGATCGTGGTTTGGAGTCTGAGCTGAGCAGCTAATCTCCGCTCCCCGACTGGAAGTGTTGGAGCTGGTAAGGGGGTGGGGGATTTGGTAGGTGGGACGCTCGGTTCTGTTGACAGGGCGGGGCACCCTCAATGAATAATGATAGGGGAAACACTGGTGGTGGCCATCTTGGTTTTTGACGTGCAACTAAAGCTGTCATTTCTAACCCGGGCCCAAAGTCCTTCTGGCCCAACCCGAATTTGGGCCAGGCCGCCTGGCCGGGCCATAATAAGGTGCTGGATGGGCGGGCCGGGTCGGGCTTTTGATTGCGTCAGAGGACGCATGCAGCTGATGATCCAATTATATGGCAACATGGATTGCCATAGTATCATTTCTCACCTCCTTCTACAGGTGTCCACCGACTGTTAATAATTATGTAAGCAGTCAAAGCTCAATTAAAAGTGTTGGGGGGGGGGGGGGGGGGGGGGGATGCCTTCGGACCTGTAATTACTGTTAATTTGTCGGGTCTGGAAATTCTGGCCACGGGCCGGATGTTTTGGGTCAGAATGCAACTCTGCGTGCAACTCAATTTTGAAAAGGAACCCTTCTTACATGTAGATGAAGCCACACACCAAAATCAAAGTTGCCAGGTTGCTCAGTTTTTATGTCGTGCTCACAACACAGACCGACATTAATGGTGGAGGTCAACTTGGCAACCCAATTTTAAAAAATTACTTTTTTTGCGTCAAGATGCAGCCACACACCAAAGTGGAAGTCGGTACCTCACTTATTTTTCCAAGCCATCGTGCTCACAACATGCACAGATGTATTTATTTTATTACGAAGCTTAATTCAAAAAGTAAAAAGTGAAAAGTAGCAAACAGTAACTCGGCTTACTTCCAGTCTCTGGCGATAAAGTACTGCAGCTCCAACAGCCTCTGTTCACAGTCCTCCACCATCTTCTCGGTGTACAAATGCTCCATCAGACATGACAGGATCCTGCAGGAAGGACACCATCAATACTGGCCGTTTCCATCAATGCACAAAATACAAAACTACATTTCACAGACTCTACATCCAAGTACAGCAGTACATTCTTATTAAAAGTACGAAGATGTGTCATTTCATTTGCAGTTTTAAGGTTTAATTTGGACATTTGGATCTTAGAACACAAACTCTGTGCAAAGTGCTTTATATTTGAGATCATGTTGTAAATTCAGGTCTGAGACGTCCTGAAGGAATGAATACCTGCCGCCTTTAAACCAGAGCTTTAGACGAAAACCATCTAATGTTGTTAAAGCTGGAGCCAAACCTTCAATGTTCAGTCTCGTCTGTTAGGCTCAAAATATGTTACTAAAAAGCAGCATTGCCGTTGATAAGTGCGACTCGAGTCGGTTCTCGTCTTATGGGTTCTTCTCAGGTGGAGGTGATTTGCCACCGACTCATTTCCCCGCCCTGTGGGCGCCATCGTCAATGCAACGTGGGCGGTTTCTTGTAGCGCCGTCCAGCTTGCGCTGATCCGCCAGTAAAGACAGAAAGGTCTGGACCTCGTCACTACTTCCATGAACTCCAAACTAGAAAAAAATAACTACCCCACACTCTGCAAGGACTGGAGGAAAAGGTGGTTCAGACGCAGTTTTACTGGGCGGGTCATCCAGTGACGCCGCTCCGCTGGCCAATCAACGGCTTCCGTCTGCTTCTGGCAAAATCGTCACCTCGGAGCAGTTCCTTTGGAACCACGAACAAAACGGTCCCATAAACTGGGCTGAGCGGGGGTGGGTACGGGCAGTGGGCGGGACCTTAACTGGTGCGGAGCCAGTGAGAAATGAAACGGTGGCAAAGCGTCATTGGTGTCAGCTGCTCCACAGCCAATAAGGAAAAAAAGAGTTGTGCTGAAGCCCCTCGACGGATTTAAACTGAGAATGTTTGTAGTTTTAGAGACGAGTGCTTCTCTAAACTGGCACTGAGCACGAAGTGCAGGAAAACCTAAATGTTTTTACTGCAGGATACTCAAGTGGGGGAGGAGTTACACTGTGGAGAAGAACAGAGGGAGGTTTTGTCTCGTCTGAGGCGGCGCCGAGCGACGAACCTGCTGAGTGGAGGGGGCAAGGTGCAATGGTGGAGCCAGGGGGTGGCCAATGGTGGCCTTGGCCACAACACAGGAAGCTTTGGCCACCCTAATCAGTTGATGAAATAATGCTTTTCACTAGGGGTGCACCGATTGCAGTTTTCTGTCCGATCACAGATCTCTAAAAAGTCTGACCTGCTGATTCTGATTTTGTTTTATAAACGACACCGTCAGGTGTTATAAGGTCACAATGCACCTTCAATTTTTTAATCTCATCTTATTGAAACACATGCCCTTGAACAATATCCTGGAAACAATACAAACTTGTTTTAACTGGCCGTGAGGTAGTGCTCTGGAATATAAATGAAGTTTAGACAATTGTTGTTAAAACTACAAAAAAAAAAAAAGAAGTAAAATCGGTTTCTCATGCAAGTATTGACCAATCTCCCAAAATTAAGGAAATCGGGGTCGATAAATCGACTGGCCGGTTTATAGTTTTTTGCAATATCAAAATTAAAAAGCATAGTTTCCTCAAAATTATAGGAGTGTCCGGTTTACACGATACATTTATAAATGTCCACCTAACTTTGACCTTACAAGAGACGATAGAAGTGATTGAAAGCACTGGGGATGGAGTGAGGTGTCTCACATGGGATCTCCGTTGCGGATGTGTTTGCAGGCCGTCTGGATGACGGATTCACAGGCCTCGTTTAGCGCACGGTCAATTCTATAGTCGGCTCCAGGGTCGGCTTCTTGGATCAACGTCTGGAGCTGCAAACAGGAGAAGAGTGACCCAAACGTCAAAATCACAACAACCACAAAAAAACCAGGCAGATGTTTCCTTAACGGACCGTAACTAATGAACGTGGAAATGTCGTAACGTTAAACAGGAAGAAAACGTTTAACACCTTTGAAAAATACAAGAGCATCTGAAAACGTCTATTTAAAACAGCAGAAACTGAAATAAATGGAAGAGATCAGAAACGATGAGGACGGCAGAACAGCAGGACTGTAGTTTTCGACACAGACTCGTGAGGCGGCAGCGCCGTTTCTTACCGCGTTCTGACACTTGGCGTCGATGGCTCCCATGTCTCCACGGCCCACCCTCATCAGGCAGTGCAGCGTTCGACCTTTTCGGTGCAAACCAGAGCAGTGCAGCTCGATCTCGCTGCGACAATGCAGCACAATCTCAGGACTCAGAGAGAAATCCTCCATCAGCATCCTCCTGTAGTCCATCATCTCACCCTGACACTCTCCACTGACCAAACGACCTGAAACACGGTGCAGAAAACAGGAAGCATCAGAAACGGACACATTCCTGAAAAGGTTTCGGACAGGGCCTGCCATGATGCATTTAGCCGTTACCGCTCGCTGTAACTTTATATTTAACTACGTCAGTCATTTTTGTGTTGGTTAAAGTAGATGGGGTGGCCTTTTTGATTTTTAAACAAATAGCCATCTGTAGCAGGTAGCATCATTATTATCCATCCAGTGGTTCATGAGACATTTTAAAAAGCAGAAAACTTGAACTGCATTTGAAGGATTTTCTGTTGTTTACCATGTTTTTTTTTTTTATTAAACCAGCATGGAAACTCAAAAGAAAGTAATGGCTCATGTTCTGCCACTACAGCTTTCATTAATACGATTCTTTATGGTAAGCACTTTGTTTTTAGATTGGATGTAGTTGAGTAAAAACAAAGCCTGTCCCATTCTGCGGTCGATTCTTAGTCATTGGAGCACAACAAATCTCAGTTCAAAACTAGAGTAATGACTTCCAAGCTTCCAGCTTTCTGCAGCTAAACTCATGTGCAGATGAAACTGGCTCTCCTCTCGCCGGAGGGTCGTTGAGACCGGCAAAGACCCCAACGAACCTCCGGTGGAAGGGGAGGGAGATTAACGATCAGAGCGGTGGTTTACCTCGATGCACTGCGGCCTCCAGACACAGCAGCAGGTAGGACAGGCGAGTCTCTCGGGCTCGAGGCATGTTGGAGTCCACGCTGCAGTGGTACTTCCTCAGATCAGACTTGCAGGCTTTAGCCAGCGAGTAGCTCACCTTGTAGTCCTGAGCGATCAGCTTCTGCCTGGTGGTCAGCGCTTCACGGCACTGATGAGACACAGAGTAGATCGAGTCTGCTACAATGTCTGAAGCACAATGTTGTGATTATTTCTGGGTCAATCTCTGTCTTTAACCAAAATCAGCCTCTGTAATCTGCAGAACCTTGGATTATTGTGGTTGATTTGAAAAGCAAGCTCACCGTCTGCTCATGCGTTAAAAACACTGGACACTGAGCAGAAGGAAACTACTAAATATTACTTAAGTGATCAGCTAAATTTAGTTTCCAACCTCGGACATTTTAAAATATTAAGATTTTTCATGTGAATCATCTCAGGAAGAGTTAGATTTTCTGATGGTAACTGTGAAAAAGCTGTAGGTTCACACGCTCATGCTGCGATCACCATCACCGTTTAGGTGAAACCACAACAAACCTTGAATCTGCTGTAGTTTTACAGCCAGGCCACTATTTGGTGGCGTGATTTGTACATTTCAACATGTGCATGCATGCAGACACGTCTGTCTAAAGCAGCAGCTTCAGGCTCGTTTAGTATTTGTAGAATGTGAGAAATGTGTCTCTGCTGTCCAAAGAGACGGGGAGGCGCATGTTTCCTGACAGACTCTGGTAAAACACAAAGAACGAGGAGCACAAACAGCCTTTCTGTTGCCGTCCGTGGTGCGCACGTGGGATTTCACAGACTGGGCGTTTCCAAAACTTCCACTCTGATACCAATAATGCTCAGTCAGGTCATCTGGACAGACTTTTTAAATTTTTTGTGGAAAGACGTTCCGCCCTCTATCCAGAGGGCTTCATCAGTCTGAGGAGTCCAAAGTAAACTGTTTCCCCACTAAGCAGTACGCTTCTTTAGTGGACCAACCAGTTTGCTGGTGATAAGATGGTTTCTGGAGGCTGTCCAGACGACCTGATACTTGGATTCAAAAAGTCTGACAGAAAAATTAATCGCCGTCGTCGTGAAGATCGACGCGCAACAGAAATGTTACGATCTCACCTGAAAACAGTGTCTTATAAACAGGGAATTATGATTGAATGATGGAAAATTATAACTAGAGTCTGATCGATAGATCAGTAGGGCACATATTTTAGACTGATACAGGCGTTTGGGGACATATATTGGTGATAATTGTCTCAATATGCGCAGATATAAACATTTCTAATTTTCTGGAACCAGTCGTAATTGTACAATGTATCCAACAGAGGGTGCATGAAGACTACTTTCAAGTCATGGCTGTTCACTTAAGTTTCACTTTCACATTCATCACAGCTGAAGCTGGGAACACCTAAATACTGTGTAGAACATTTTGCTGAACAGAGCATGGTAAGTTTGTAAGGACATTATTACCTGCAGTGTTCCCTCAGTGAGGACTGAACTAGACAAAAGGGCCTTGTCCTACTCCGCCCCTGTTTCCTGGAAGACTTTGCAAAAAGATCTTAAGCTCTCGACCTTTGACCTCTCTAAGAAACATCTGCTAAGTTCATGGCAAAAACCAACGCAGACATGTTCCTGTTTTTAGTTTTCTACATCACTTTACATTCTAGCTGTTTTTGTTTCATTTTTTTATACAATTCCTTCTATTTATTTTTCATTTTATGTGCTTTTTTATGATTATCTACTATTGTCATGTGTTTGTTTAAAACGGGTCTCTTTTGTAAACGAGTCCTCGAGGCTCAATGAGACCAACCTGTAGAAATAAAGGTTGAAATTGAATTGAAAAAGTTTATTTGAACTGATCTGTAAAATAAATCAACAATAAATTCTCTTCAATCCTCCAACCCGCTTGTCTTTAGCTACGTGCCTCTCCAGTTAGCAAGCTAATGTTTAGATAACTAGCATGTGCTGTTGCTTAGTAAAATTTTATCCAGAACAATAAATCTAACGTAGAGGTAAAATATCAGAGTTAGTAACTTTATCTTTGTCGTCCTCAGTGAAATGCATTGTTCGTTTGAAATCTTTACTTCTCTACAAAGAAAAATAAACTCTGCTGAGGTCAATGCTAATTAGCCCTTCACCAGACGTGACTGTTTAAACAATGAACAGGAAGGTGTTTCTTTGTTTAATTTATATTTTTGTAAAACACTTGAAAACTTTATGGTGAATAGTGGAGGATAGAAATTGTGAATGCACGTTAGGAAGACTGTTTCTATGAGCGGAGCTCCACTTGTAAATGTGGGTCTATGTATGGGTGGACCTGATTAGCTTAGCTTCATGATTGACAACAGTTGCACTAAAAAAAACAAGCCCCACTCCACTCGTCATTTTCTTAGATGCCTGGGGGTGGACAAAGCTCAAACATTTCCAGCCATTACATCGGTGGTCACCAAAATGTCTACATTTGTCAGGCTCTAATTAACCTTTTAAATCTTCCTTATGCTTATTTTAAATGGACTTTTTCAAGACACCAACTTATTTTCCAGATGTGAACACTTTGTGATGTTTGGTTTGCATGTTCCTTGATAACAGCAGATGAGAGAAGCGGATGGAAGTATTTCATAAGATAAGCTTCAAGTTTTATTTTTCGTTAAGTATTTTTTTTAATCTCAGATAAGACGTGCGTGTATGCGTAACGCAGTCATGTGTCTTAGATAAGAAGGTCAGGCCACATAGGCTGGGAGTTTATAACCAACTGTACATCTTGTTGCTCTTCCAGAAGAACAAACGTCATCATCTCCTCAGGTCAGCACAAAGAGGATCAGGCTGAACTCTGGGTTTTGGATGTCAATGAGACCGTTGGGTTGTCAATCTTGTCGCAGCCTAAAAGTTAGCAGAGTCTCTCTGATCAACCTTGGCTGTAACAGAACCAAGTCCCGTCTTGATCTTCTGCAAGGGCAACAAATATCAGCTTCTCACACGTCTGAGCAACAACGAGCCGACACAGTCGTATCAGGTTTGTTGAACCGAACATAAAGCACAGAGATACGAGGACCTGAGCCAGCTACAAACACTCGGCTACTTGAGGAAACTTTTCAGACACTAGTCAAAGCTACAGTTAAGAACATGAGACCAGAGACGGACCGGCGCCTTCTTGTGATAACCAAGAAGGTCCGTATCAAGGTACCGTCATGGTTCCTCACATATCCTTGAGAGTTAGCTGTAAGACCACGTTCACTAGCGGACCTCAGACTGCATTAAAAAGAGGAAAGTTCTCTTTAAACAATCAGGTTGATACGTTTATTTTTCACGTGGCTGTCATTCGAGTCCTTCGATGAATTTGATGAATATTCTGGGACTATCAGACTCCTTAGTATGATCATTTGTATTTTTATAACTACGTCTTTCCTCTTTTTTCATCCCATTTTAATGGTTTACACAAAGTAATTTATTCATATTTAAGGTTTGAATAAATGCAAGAGAACGCAAGTAAACCTTAATGTTGTTGGTGCAAGATATTCATGTGGGTAGAAGTTACACCGTCTAGAAGGAGAGGAAGGACTTTTAGGCTAGTCAGAGGCAGCGCAGTGTGACAGATGCTGGAGAGAGGAGGGAGCCAGGGGGGAGCCAGGGGGGAGCCAGGGGGTGGCCAGGGGGTGGCCAGGGGCACCACAGATTAACCTTTGGGCACCCAATCATTTGAGGAAACTGCACTTTTAAGCAATATAAAACATGGAATGCATAGTTTCCTCACATGATCGGGGTGGCCAGATTAGATATGCGGCGGCCAGATTAGATATGTGGCGGCCAGATTAGATATGTGGCGGCCATCTTGAATTTTGACGTGGCAACCCAACATTCCACAGTGACCACTCTTACGCACAGATGCAGCCGCACAACAAAATGGAAGTCAGTACCCGACTTGTTTTTCTAGTTATGCTCACTACATGCACGGACGGACGGTAATGTCAATAAGTTCAAGGTTCTTTATTGTCATTTGCAGCACATGTGGTACATGAGGTGGAACGAAATTGTGTACTCAATGTCCCAGTACCCCCTCCAAGAAAGGAACAGTGGTGTTGAAAAAGATTATGCAAGTCTAGAACACTCTGCAGAAGAAGTAAACGGCTCTTACCCTCTCAGACATGGCCTCCTCAAACTTGTGATTAAAGAGACATTTGTAAACTCGGCCCTCTCCGGCTAAAGTCTGAAAAAATAAGAAAAACAGCACGGTTACACTTTAGACCACTGACAGACAGACAGACAGACAGACAGTTAAACTGTTAGACAGTCCATTAGATGGATAGACAAGATAGATAGACAGATAGACGTTAGACTTTAGACGGTTAGACAGACGTTTATACAGCTAGAAGGTTAGACAGTTAAATGGTTAGACAGTTAAGCAGTTACTGTTAGACAGGTAGACTGTTAGACAGACACACAGAGGGTTACACATTTAGACAGTTAAACACAAAGACAGTCAGTTAAACTGATAAGAGTTTGGCAGTTAAATTGTTAGACAGCTAGACGTTAGACTTTAGACGGTTAGATGGTTAGATGGTTAGACAGGTAGAAGGTTAGACAGTTAAACGGACAGACAGAAAGACAGACAGACACAGACAATTAGACAGTTAAGACTTTAGATGGTTAGACAGCTTCCATTCTGCTAATTTGAAATTTTAGTGAAACTTTTGCTACTTTTTAACATCTGTCCTGCCAATTGTAACATCTGCATTGTATCGTTTTCTTCAACATCTGTTTAGCTAATTTCAACCATTGTTCAGCTGCTTTAGGCTACTGTTCAGCAGAATAAAAAAAACAACAGTTTAGTTTTAGCTAATTTTATAATTTGAGTCTTTTTGCCAACTTTAGCTACTGTTTTGCTTTTCTTAGCTTCTTTTTGTCATTGTAACATCTGTATTGCAAATCTTATCACTGTTTTGCTAAATTACCCATTTTTTTCTTACACTTTAAGCTGTTCTCTTAAATTAAACATTTGTATTAATTTTAACTACAGTTTGAAAAAGTTTGGCTTTTATATTTGTTATGCTAAGTTTAGCTACTATCTTTGGACATCATTCTGCATATTTTAAAGTCTGTAAAGCTATTTTTACCTTCTTTGTTAACTTTACCTTGAGCACTGGTTTAGCTCATTTCAGAAAATTCTGCTTCTTTTAGCTACCGCTTTGCTAATCTGAAATGATGTGTTGCTACGTTTAGCTTTAGCATCCTTTTGTTAAGTCTGGATTCTGCTGCTTTTAGCTTGAAGCTAAAATGTTGCTCATTTCAGGTGAAGTTTAGCTGTTTGTAGCTTTAGCATATTTCCTTTTTAACTGTGGCCAATGTTTTGCTCATTTTAGCATCAGCTTTACTACTTTTAGCTACTCTTGCAAATTTTAACAACCGTTGCTGTTCTTCTACCTACCGTTACGCTTTTAGCTTCTACTTACTCTTCTGTTAGTTTGAGCTCGTGTTCTGTTCATTTTAGCTTTAGCAACTCATTTTCAGTTCCTTCAGAAGATATCAGCAGCCGTTCAACTCGGTACATTCACACTGGTTTTACAGAACTTACAGTTTCTCTAGTTTGGTACGATCGTTACGTTGATCAAGGCCACGCTCTCAACGCACCATACATGTTTTTAACATGCACACGGTCCGGTGACCACACACAGAAACACTGAGAAATAACACGGACATGAACATGCACGCCGGACTTGTTCAAGGTGTAAAACAAACAGCTTGTGGGAATTAAGTTCATGTGACTGAATACGTTTAGAATATGACAATTATCAAGCCCAAGTACACGGAGAGAGTTGTGTCAGGAAAGATTGGAATATGGTTCAGCTTTTGTTTTTATCATTTAATTCAAGCCTTGATCCCAACAGAGGACTACACTGACAGATGAAGTCAGTGGACTCGATTGTTTGCAGATGACATCATGATCTGTGGTGAGAACAGGGAACAGGTGGAAGAGAACTTGGAGAGGTGGAGGTATGCACTTGAAACAAGAGGAATGAAAGTCAGTCGTAGTAAGACAGAGTCCATGTGTGAATGAGAGGGAGGAGGTGGAACAGTGAGGCTACAAAGAGCAGAGGTCACAAAGGTGCAGGACTTCAAGGACTTGGGGTCCACTGTCCAGGAACATGGGGAGTGTGGTAAAGAGGTGAAGAAGAGAGTCCAGGCAGGATGGAGTGATGGAGAAAAGTTTCAGGAGTGATTTGTGACTAAAAGGCGTCAGCAAAGGTCAAAGGAAAAGTTTACACGACAGTGGTGAGAGCAGCTATGTTGTACAGATGCAGTGAAATGGAGGACACCTTGCAGTGGCGATCACTAAAAAGGGAACAGTTGAAAGAAAAAGAAGACGTGTATATTCCTACAGAAGACTGACAACTAGTCTGAAGGTGAAAGACAAAGAACTAATTTGAAGTGGTTGTGCTGGTGGTGGTATTTGATGGTTGCTGCGAACACAAACACGCAGTTTACAGCCAGCGAAGCCAAGCTCGAAATATTGCTGTTCAGTGCGAGGACGGCGTGTGTTGATCGTTTTAGATCGTGTCAGAAAAACAAAAGTCTTTAACCAGTTGGAATAAAGTTTGGCTTCAGCCAACATACATGCATCGACCCAAGAACGGAAGGAATAAAAACGTGTTTCATCATCCTCACGTTTTCGCAGAAGCGCTCTCTGTCGTCTCTGCAGGCGAAGTACAGATGGCGGTCGAGGTGGAAGTCGTCAGAGGAGAGCTCCGCCACTCTCATGATGGACTTCTTACAGTCTTCCTTGATGTGGTGGGCGCCCGGCTGCTCCTCAGCTTCACGAACTAACCCCTTCTCCAGGCAGGAGATCACCTCACCCTGAGAGTGGACGTCCTGCACACAGACACACACAGTCAGTTACAGCAGGAGTGGAACAGGAGGCGGAGCTTCCAGTCATCAGGCTCCACCCATGGAAACAACCTCCACTGTCAGTCCATCAGGCGGACCCTGAACCTTTAAGACCAGGCTTAAGACCTTTCTGTTAATTGATCTTGTATTAGTTTGTTCAATTATATATTTAATACATACATATATACAAATACATAAATGTATACATACACTATATTTTATACTGTAGCATGTTTAAAGTAAAAAAAAACATGCATATATATATATACTTTAAACTGTTGCACCTTTTATATTTGTCTGTTGATTTTGTGTGTGAACGTTTTTAAATGAGTGATTGACTCATACCTGTCCTGTGACAAATTAATTTTATTTTTTATGAATCTTCTTTCTGCTGCTCCGTCTTCAGAGGTCGCCACAGTGAACGAACTCGCACGGAGACTTGATTGTTTTTACACCGGATGTCCTTCCTGACACAACCACTGAGCTACCACAGCTCGCTGTGTGGCGCAGAGAGCACCTTATCTATTGCTATTAAAAGCAAAATAAGCTCATAGTCTGTCTTGTTGGATGGATGGATTTCTTCGTTCAGATAAAGACCAGCTGCTCTTTAACAAACGACTCTCGTGACAGACTTCCAACTCACCTTCTGTCCGGTGTTGACACTGCCGCACTTCAGCGAGTTGATGTCTTCACGACACTTGTCCATGAAGCCACAGATCAGGCGATAGTCACTGAAGATGATGGTGGTCATCTTGGTGATGTACTGGTTGCACTGGTAGTCACTGATGTTGGCCCGGTGTTCCACCAAACAGGACACCAGGTAGCCTTTTCCCAGCTCCTCTGCAGCGCATTCTTTAATCTGAGCCGAGACAGAAACATCTCAGACAGAAGTGCTTCACAACACGGTGCCTCACTGCGATATCCAACATGTGAGAAACTTCAACTACACTTACTGGTAGGTTCAACTACAGGATTCTGTTTCATTTGCTCAGTAAACAGGAACAATTACTTCAAACCATTTGCAGAATGTTTAAACCATGAGTGTTTTGTGAACACCGTTAACTGTGTCAAGCTGAGACATTCAAGAACTTTCTGCACATTTTAAAGTGAGGGGACTTACTCAGCTGCAACTGTAACAGGGTTATGGACTCAACCCTGACTCAAAATGGTGAGAAAATACATCATTTTTCATTTTCAGTCACGCTGAACGAATGTTTGCCACCATCCAACCATCCATCCAACCATCCAACTAACCATCCAACCACTGCACTGAGCAACATTTTGAGTGGATGTTTTTTTTTTAAATCTTGACTTATTGTTGAGTGCAGAGTTGATAAATTGGGTTCACTTTACAGACTTGAGTTGATCTGAGTCACTCACTAAATGGATCCAATTCTCATGTGTCGGACATGATGAACCGTCCACCTCACTCTGTCCTCACTCCATCTACCTCCATGTCCTCTCTAACTGCATCCATACGTCTCCTCTTTGTCTTTTTCCTGGCAGCTGCATTTCTAACATCCTTCTACCAATATGCCCACTGTCCCTCCTCTGGACATGTCAAAACCACTGTCCCTCCTCTGGACATGTCCAAACCACTGACCCTCCTCTGGACATGTCCAAACCACTGTCCCTCCTCTGGACATGTCCAAACCACTGTCCCTCCTCTGGACATGTCCAAACCATCTCAGTGTGTCCTCTCTAACTTTATCTCCCAGTTGTTCAACCTGTGCTGTACCTCATTCCTGATCTTCTCCATCCTTGTCTCTCCTAAGGAGAACCTCAACATCTTCATTTCTGCTTCCAGTTCTGTCTCCTGTCTTTTTGTCCATGTCTCTGTCTCCAGACCATACAACATAGCTGGTCTCACCACTGTCTTGTAAACTTTTCCTTTGACCTTTGCTGACACCCTTTTGTCTCAAATCACTCCTGAAACTTTTCTCCATCACTCCATCCTGCCTGGACTCTTCTTCTCCTCTTCACCACACTCCCCATGTTCCTGGACAGTGGACCCCAAGTCCTTGAAGTCCTGCACCTTTGTGACCTCTGCTCCTTGTAGCCTCACTGTTCCACCTCCTCCCTCTCATTCACACACATGGACTCTGTCTTACTACGGCTGACTTTCATTCCTCTTCTTTCAAGTGCATACCTCCACCTCTCCAAGTTCTCTTCCACCTGTTCTCTGTTCTCACCACAGATCACGTCATCTGCAAACATCATAGTCCACAGGGATTCCTGCCTGACCTCATCCGTTAGTCGGTCCATCACCAGAGCAAACAAGAAGGGGCTCAGAGCTGATCCTTGATGCACTCCCACCTCCACCATGAAGCTATATGTCACTCCTGAAGAACATCTCACCACTGTCCTGCTGTCCTCATACATGTCCTGCTGTCCTCATGCATGTCCTGCTGTCTTCATACATGTCCTGTATCAGTCTAACATACCAGTACTTCTCTACTACAACTGATTTTTCGACTGTTCCCTCTTCAGGGGTCTCCACAGCGAGTCATCCTCCTCCATCTTACTCTGTCCTCACTCCAACTACTTAGATGAACTCTAATGTTAGTGTTTTAGGTCGGATGCCCTTCTTGACACAACTCTCACATCTCCTCCTACATGTCTCTGCGTGAGTGCAGCTACAGCGTGCGCTCTCAGGACATTATTACCTGCAGTGTTCCCTCAGTGAGGACTGAACTAGACAAAAGGACCTTCTCCTACTCCGCTCCCGTTTCCTGGAATATCTTGTAAAAAGATCTGAAGCTCTCGACCTTTGACCTCTTTAAGTGGCTTTAAGGATCTGTTGGACTCCTGGCAGGGACCAATGCAGACATGTTCCTGGTTTTAGTTTTCTACATTTGCCTTAGAATCTAGCTGTTTTTTTGTGACTTTTTTTTTTTAGCCATCCTATTGGTTAAAAAAAATTAAAAAAATACAATTGTATGACTTTTTATAATTGTTTATTGTTGTCGCTTGTTGTCATGATTCTTTGTTGAAATCAGGTCTCTCTTGTAAATGAGTCCTTGCGGCTCAGTGGGATTTACCCGTCTAAATAAAGGTTGAATGAATTTGCCCGGGCTCGGGACTGGTACAAGAGACACACCAGCTTTTGCTCCCTAGTGGCAGATTTTTTTGTTCTGCCACAACTGATAATGAGTGTAACTTCAGACAGTCAACCAAACAAAAATAAAATTCTTATTGCTTTCTACCAACCTTCAGACTGCTCAGCTGACAGGTGAATATCTTGCTGCAGTAAAGTGGTATCAGAACACTACAGGTACATCCAAACAGTATCAGAACCAATGTACAGATACTGGCATCAGTGCATCCCTATTCAATGACATCATTAAATGGTGACATGTTTGCCGTCCTAACAGTTTTATTTTGGTGCCTGTGCTGCTCTTGTAGTCTGCCAAAGTTTTGTTGTTTTTTTGCAGCAGTGGTCAACATACCAGTCACACCAGTCATTTTAAGCTCCTGGTCACAATGTGGTGTCTTCGTTTTAAACCCAAGTAGTCTATAATGACTTACTGCGTTCTCTGTTTGACATATGGGCTGCTGCTGTTTAACACAGTTCTGATGTCGAGTGTTCAGCTCGTGCACGAGTATACAGCGCATGAGAACAAATTTCTGGTTGTCTTCCGTTGTGGTTTGTTTTTTTGCAATGGCGGTTTTGTCATCAAACAGGAAGTGAATATAGCAGGTTGTCAGCTTGGAAGACACTCGCACCGTGTCCGGCTGCTTCTGTTTGACAGACAGAATCTTGTTTTTGTTCTGGAGCTGGAAAAAAGTCTAAAAGTCACTTCTGCTGTTAAACCATGTGAGAGGACGCCGGTAAAGCTTGTTGTTCGTCTCTCAGCGAGGGAACAAGTCTGAGGATCCATGTCTGTGGGTCACGAGTGTTTCATTTAAACTCAACAGCGGTTGAAGGAGGATCTAAAAATGACGAGAGATATTTTGTATATAGTGATAAAGATCTAAAATGTTGATGTTTTGGTCATATCACCCAGCTCAAGTGGCTGCACACTATTTATCCTCTTCCTAGTCTGTATACCACAATGTCAGCCAGAGTTAGCACAATATTTTCAGTCATGTGGACACCTGTGGTGAGAGCAGCGTCCTCTTCGACACACATGACTGACATAAACTAAACAAATGTTTCAATGCCAGGGCTCAACTGTAATGAAGACAGTCAGTAAATCAGCAGAACAAAATGAATTCCAGGCCCTGTAGGGACTTCTAGTACATCTTATTTCTCCATTTCAGATTTATGTTGTCCATTTTTAATGTCAAAATAAACAGAAAACGATCCGACAGGTTGGCCCAGACCGACGCCTCCTCCTGCTGGTGAACCCTTTTACCTCCATTTAAGATGAAAACTTTTACTTCGGCACTCGCGACCACTTTGAACACAATCGTAATCCAGCGGTATGAAAAGAAATGGGCCCGGCCACTCTGCTGCTTCTGACTTTACGTGTGCACGAGCACATGAGCACAGGAAGACTACCGGTAATTTTATTGGTTCATGTTTGAACGGCCACAGGCGCCTTCAGGAGAAGCTCGTCTGTGGTTTATAAGATTATTTACTGATTATATTAAAGAATCAACGTCAATCTGAATGCAACTGCACAATAAGTCTCAACGTTTAAAACATTTAATTCGTCACTGTTGGTTATTGATGTAAGCCAGTAACATATTTCAGCATAAAATGACTACAAATTAAAGTTTAGTCTTCTGAACATCTCCAAAGTTTCAGGTCCAACCTCCAAACCTCAGACAGCAGCCCCGTGTGGCGTCCCCCGACACGCAGAAGTTTCTACAAACTGCTGGGTTGTCATTTGTAATAGTTTTAGCATCTGACCTCCGGGATAGTCGTCTTGCAGACCTCCACAGCGACGGACTCGAACTTTGCGTCGGTGGTCAGGTTCAGCTTGTAGTTCCACAGCAGCTGCAGGAAAGAGCACGCACGAACAGTGACTTGCACAGATCCACCGTCATGACTCTACAACTGATATCAAACATCAAAACTAAAGAGTACAAATGATAAACTAACTGTGACAGGCTAAAAACTTTTTTAAAATCTAAAATAACATTCACTAGAGTTCACTCAGTCGTTAATTTGAATGTTTTAGTTTATTTTTATTAATGGACTATAATTATTCTGCTGGGAGACTTCAAGGCCCACGTGAGTGGAGACAGTGAAACCTGGAGGGGCATGGTTGGACTCGGATCTGAAACACTGCAGAGCTTTGTTGTTGAACTTTTGTGCTAGCCATAATTTGTCCATCACAATCACCACGTAGGTATATAAAGGTGTCCACAAGCGCACCTGGCACCAGGATGCCCTCCGCTTCAGATTGATGATAGACTTTGTAATCGGGTCATTTGATCTAAGGCCATAAGTTTTAGACACTTGGGTTAAGAGAGGAGCTGAGCCAAATGATCACGCCCTGATTGTGAGTTGGATTAGACGGCTGGGGAACATACCAGACAGACCCAGAAGATCCAAACCTGTAGTGAGGGTTTGCTAGGAACGCCTGGCAGAAGAACTGTCGGAACAATTTTCAACTTCCCCCTTCGAAAGCACTTCAACTGTATCTCAGCAAAGGCAGGGGACATCAAGTCAGAGTGAGATGTTTGTCATCCCATACCCCTCTGCCACTTGATTGGCAGAATGGGGTATGGGTCACTCTTTTCCAAAAGGAGGACCAGATGATGTGTTGCAGTTACAAAGAAATCAAACTTCTCAGCCTTCTAGTAAGATCTATTTGCTGGAGAAGAGTCCAGTCATTGGTAGAATCTCTGAATCATGAGGAATAATGCCCGTCTTGTTCAAGCTGTGGAACTATGGACCAGCTTTTTATCCCTGCTTGGTTCCTTAAGGGGGCAAAGAAATTTGCCTAAGCAGTACACATGTTTTGTGGACTTGAAAAAGGTCTTCTGACGGTGTTCTTCAAGGAACATTGAGGGGGATGCTCCTCAAGTATGGGGTTGGTGATTCATACCTACAGGCCATTCAGTCCCTATAAAAAAATGGTACACGGTTCTGGTTCACATTGCTGGCAATAAGTCGAACCCTTTGCCATGGCTGCCAGTCATCACCCATTTTGTTCATAACATTGAAAGGACAAAATTCTCGGTGCATCCAGTGGGCAGAAGGTGTCCAGTTCAACACCAAGATTCTGTCTCTGCTATTTGCAGATGATGCGGTCCTGTTAGCATCATTGTGCCAAGAACTCCAGCTCTCATTGGAGCGGTTCACAGCAGAGCGTGAAGCAGTTAGAATCAGGATCAGCACCTCCAAATCTGAAGCCATGGTCCTCAGTCAGAAGAGTGAGCTGCCCTCTCTGGGATGGGAGTGAGATGCTGTCTCAAGCAGAGTAGGTAAAGCCTTTATTATTTTAGCCTTTATTATTTATACAGGTTAGTCTCATTGAGCCACGAGAACTCATTTTCAAGAGAGACCTGTTTAGGGAGCACATGGTGTGAGATCGACAGAGAGATTGGTGCAGCTTCTGTGTTCAGTATTGTGGACTCTGTAACCATTGTGGTGAAGAGGGAGCTGAGCAGAAAGGAAAAGCTCTCCGTTTACTGGTCGGTCTACATTCCTACCCTCACCGATGGTCATAAATTCCAGGTAGTGACCAGAAGAACAAGACTGAGGATACAAGTGGTGGAAATTCTCATTTTCCACAGGGTAGCCTGGCTCTCCCTTAAAGATATGAAAGGTTCAGTTATTCTGGACAGATGTGGAGTATAACCGCTGTTCCTTCACATTGAGAGGAACCAGTTGAGGTGGTTTGGGTATCTGATAAGGATGCCCCCTGGACGCCTCAGAGAAGTTTCTCAGGCGTGCACGACTGGGAGTAGACGCCAGAAAAGACCCAGGACACACTGGAGAGACCAAGTCTCTTGTGTGGCTTGGAAACACCTTGAAATCTTCCCAGAAGAGGCTGTTGAAAGAAGTATGGACCTTCCTGCTCAAGCTGCTGCCCCTGCAACCGGGCTCCGCAACAAGTGGCAGATGATGATTGAACTACCAGTAATTAAAGAACGGATGCATGGATGGACGAGTATGAATGGAGTGGTGGTTTTGTGCCAAGATACTTACATGGTTGCACTCCGAGGCAATCTCAGTTTCCTGAAAAGATAAAAGAAAAGGTTGTTAAGATGTTTCAGAGGTCTCAGTTCAGTCGTCACCGTGACAGCGACACGCTTTTAAAGCCAAGGCTTACTGCGCCTTGCACTTGGGTGCACTTCTTCAAATAAAAGAAAAATGTTGCAAAAGGGTCATTAAGTAAGTTGTATACTTATTTCTCAAGGCTTTTACATAATTTCATACTAACAACTTGAATAATGCTTATCGTTGTTTTACTGAAACTTTTTACAATGGTAGCAGTACATTTTTTTAAACATTTTATACTTGATGCGTACTTTTCTTTATTTTAAAAATGCATTTTTTACACATTGTTTTTGTGTTTAAAACTGACGTTTTCATAACTTCGATGCGCAGACTGATGTAAACCAACCGAGCCGTTCACTAAAGCCGTCGTAGAATTAAAGATGCAAGAAATCTGCTCGTGATTGAAAAAGGACCGTTTCAGCTCGACTGACCTTCACCTGTAAATAAACAAATGCGATATTTGATTTTCTTCCCGGTTGCTTTATTGTGCCAACAACAGTCCATTTCAGTAAACAAAATATAATTCCACGTAGACACTTTAGCGTGGAGTGAAACAGACTTTAGTTGTAGGAACTGTCTGTAAGGGTCTGCAAAGTTAAAGATAAAAATGTTTACAGGGCAGAGTTTCCACAAAGATACGTCTCAGTTCAGAAAGGCAGTTTCCACTCAGTACTTTGACAACGACGGCCAGGAAGGACAGATGTCAGAAAAGTTGCTCGGATGACGGTTACAAAAGCAGCTAAAATTAAAAACCTACTTGGGCCAGTTTCATAAATAAATTAATTCCAGTCAGATAGCAGACATCTATTCTCAGCAGTTTCATCGTTTACGTAGATTACTGGACACGTCAAAGCTTTCCTGCACAAACTGAAGCTCAGAGACAAAATTAGACATTTTAAAAAAATATACTTTATACCGAAGGCGGCACAGTGGAACAGCGGTTAGAGGTGCCGCCTCGCAGCAAGAAGGTCATTCAAAATCCTGCTAGGGCCTTTCTGTGAAGACGCTACTTGTTGTGGGTTCTCTGGTTTCCTCCCACAGACTGGAAACATGCATGCTAGGCTAACTGGTAATTGTCCTTGGGTGTAAACAGTTGTCTGTCTCGTGTTTCTGTGATGGACTGGTGACCAGTCCAAAACCATAATTAGTTGTTAGAACTGCAGAAAAGCCCTTCAGTACTTTCTTTAGGATTTTATTTTAAACAATTCATTCAAACGGACCACAGATAAAGTATTTATTCACCATATTTTGACAAAATGCAATTATCAAATTTTTCAGCCAAAGCACAACAACTGCATCTCCACATACCAGTTTACGATACAATCCTTGGTTTGATGTGATGGATAACAAATTATTTTTATTGGACAGTTTCATTTGTTGTTGTTGTTGTTGTCTCTCAGATGTAACCAGTTTTACACGTCAAGGCTCAAAGTTAATGCACTTTATCAAAAGGTAACTCAGACTGTAGTGAAAGTTAATAAGCCTTTACGTTTTGAAATAACTCATTTTCCTGATGAGTGCAGCGTCAGTGCGCCTCAAAGCTTCACCACATCAGGGGAGGAAGGAGGGCGTCGCCACAAACGACAAATGAACAACAACCGCCGCCTCTTGCAGAGATCTTATCTGGCCATCGCTTCATTGTTTCAGTCAAAACCTCCATGAGAGATTACAGAAGAAAAGAGTTCAATCTGAGAAACTGCAGGAAGTCTGTCCGTCAGAAGAGCAGCCGCCCGTCAGCTGACCTCTAGTCTTTGTGGTCGTTCAACTGTGATGTTCGGCCGTCGTTAGACATGACGTCTTGGTTAAGGTGTTGAACAGAGACCGACTGACAGCTGGTACCCACTCCACCTGTAAACTGTCAAAAAGTCACAACGTCCGAAGGCTACAACTTTACGAGAAGAGGAAGAACGTGAAGAGGAAACGAGCTGCGAAAGAACCGTCAGCGGGTCGCAACGTACACGATGTCTGTTAACACAGGCCAAGAGGCAGACTGACCACAGGGGGAGCAACAATTTTGATTCGTTTCTCTTTACAGACTACATTTTATAGGAAAAGATAATAATAATAATGATAAAGTGCTGTGTGGCGTCATCATTTTAAGTTCCCATACAAAGACGAAATTAGTTCTCTGCATTTAACCAATCGCACCTGAGATTCACCCAGGTGGAGCAGTGGGTAGCTGTGCAGGTGCCCAGTGAGCAACTGGGGATTGGGTGTCCTGCTCAGAGACACAACGACATGTGATGGATGGATGGATATGACACCATGGTTGTATATTTATTCATTAGTTATATTATATAAAAATAATATAATCTATAATATTTATTCATTTTACTTTATTATTTATTTAATTTATTCATTATAACGCATCATTAACAGGTATTTAAAGCCACTTGGGCTGAGCGAGGTGAGCTGAACACGAGTGGAGACGAAAAAGCTGAAATGAGAAGAAATAAACTGAAATTAGGAAAGAAAAGTTGACATAATAAGAAAAAAGCACAAAAGGTGGAACCTAGAAAAAAAAAAACAGCAGGAAAATTACCCAAAGTGTCTGAAACACAAATAAAGCAGATTTTTGAAGAAAAAAGTTGAAATTAGCAGAAAGAAGCTTGAAGGTGCTGAAGAGAGCTGGAGTGAGCAGCAACAAAAGATGTGGAGAGCTCCTTTCATTTTCAATAAAAACATGGCCGACAAAGCTAAACATTACAAAACTAAGAGCTGCAGAAACATCAAACGTCACAGCAGGAATAAGCTGAAGGAGCCGAACGTTTAGACGCTTGAACTGATGAAAGAGCTCCAAGCTTACAGAACCAGTGTGGATCCAACAGCCGAAGGACAGAGACACAGAGAGACCAGCAGCCGAAGAACCAAAACTAGAGAACGGTCTCTGACTGACCCCAAAGGTCCAAACCTGAAATCTGCTGATGGGATCCATCGAGGACTAAAATAATCTGAGGGTGGAGCTGGTTAGAGCTCAGATATGAAACAAATGGACCAGATAATGCACAAGGTTCTGACCCGGAACCACAAGCAACAGTGCAGAAACAACTCAAACCCAGTCGACATGGTGCTGAAGAGGGAAGTCTGTGGTTGGACACAGAA